TTATATTTTTCAAAACCCTTTCAAATATATTATTTCTGAAACTGGTAATCCAGTTTTACATGGCAATCCAGACAGTCATAGTACAGGTATATAAAGTCTGATGTTCATGTAACAGACTTCAAAAAGAGAATTGCTTTTTAATAAATAGCATCTTTCAAACTATCAAATTTCAGTATGATATTTAGTAAGCATGTCACATTAAATACTATTAATCAACTGATTGATTATTAAGTCTCTGATCAAAACACTAAGTGAAAGCTTAAGACCTTAGCATTTGTTTTAAAGGCTGAATTTTTTGCTTTAAAGCCTTCTTGTTTTACTGAGTCTTTCTGTAAGATGAAGACCCCTGTAGGAGGAAAAATACTTTTGATGTCTTTTGCATCTTACAACTGAACACGTAAATAAGCTATTGCCGAAACAATAATACTGCTATCCTTGCCTCATAGAGATTAGCCAATCAATCAGCAAATACCATTATTTCCTGGATTCTAAGACACAGGTTCTATAAATATTAACATTTCTGAAATTGATGCTTCTTACAATTATGTCGAAAGGAACTCACCAGCCACTAGGCATAGGAGTAAGTTTTGATATAGCAGTCCTTACCTGAGTATGTACAAACTTAGCTGTATACAAAAGGTATCTGTTCATCTACCTGTCATTTTAGTTGTTATTTGGTATAGGTATCACGAAACAAGGATGGCTTTTTAATTTAAATTTGGTTCACTACTTTGTTACTTAAACGTTGTCAAAAACATTACACTATATAATGCAGCACTGACTAGCCTGTTGTCCATCATTGCAATTAAATGAAAAAAAAAAAAACAAAAAAAAAACTGTCAGTGTTCTCAGACGAAAGTATTTTTCAAAGCCAGGAGAAGCTGGCGTGACAAACTTACACCTTGTGAGGGGCTGTTATCATTCAGCACTAAAACATATATAATGCAGCACTGACTAGCCTGTTGTCCATCATTGCAATTAAATGAAAAAAAAAAAAAAAACAACAACAAAAACTGTCAGTGTTCTCAAACGAAAGTATTTTTCAAAGCCAGGAGAAGCTGGCGTGACAAACTTACACCTTGTGAGGGGCTGTTATCATTCAGCACTAAAACATCTCTCTGTCCTAAGTTGCACCTTAATTAAAGAAAAGCTGTTTAACTTGTAGTATACTCAACTTAATTAAGGAAAAAAGTAGCTTGAGTTTTATGAAAGAGGACAAGCACATAAAACTCCAAATCCTTCAACATGCCTGAAATTTATACAGCTAATCTTAAAAGATTTCAAAGAGGTCCAAAGCACTACTATAGATAATGAAAAACAGTGTGCCACAGTGAAGCTGTACAAAGCTAGTCAAAAGGAGGCTTAGATTCAACCTCCAATTGTGTATCTAAACAAATTGTTGGTAAAAGTAAAATGTATAATTTCTTTTTTTCTTCTCTGTAAACTTATTAAATCTGCAATGCAGGCTGCAATCACTAGCATCTTAGAATCACAGAAATAAGGTATATATTAAAGGCTACCTACTTGTGAGACTAGCTAGAATATTTTTGCTAAAATATAAAAGTTGCAAAATGATAATGATCAAAACTATAAGGCTTAGGTTCAAACTGATACCTTCCAAAAGGATTACAAAAATTAGGATATAAATATGAACACTTTAGCAATAAGCAAGATATATTAAAAAGCATCATTATGAACAATTACAATTAGAATCAATTATAGTTAGATTTTTATTTAACACTGAAAATCATCCTTTGAAGGTAATTCACTACACAATAAAAGAAAAATTATACAAAAATAGAATTTAAGAATTATTTCTAATATCGCTTTCTAAAGTTTAGCAAATAGGAAAGATGTTATTTATTCCATCTTATCTATGACACTATGCTGCCAAGTTACAGGAAAAATTTAAATTACACTTCTCCAGTCACAAAAGGGGCAAAAGACGGTGGTGAACAATTAAAATGAACCTATCTGATAATGTCGTGGAGTTGAGGTTTCATAAGTAGGGGTTAATGGGATGTCCAAATTAGACTCCTATTGTTAGATGAAGCCTTAGAGGTCAACTGGTTTAGCCTGCAAAAATCTACCTAAATTCTCTTTACTCATTTCTTATTCGATGACTGACTAGTCTCTCAATATTTCCAGTGGTGAGGAACCCACTACCACAGAAAGCAGTGCATTCTGTTTCAGACTGTTGTCACAGAAAGTTCATTGATCTACATATTGATGCATGTCTCCACATAACTTCTTAGGAGACAAAGTAAGTTGAATAAAATTTCTCTATTATAATCCTCTAAGTATCTGAAGAAAGCTTTCATATTCTTTCTTGAGTTCTTTCTTCTCAAAGCTGAACATCCCCAGTTCCTCATCCGTCTTGTTTTTTCAGACCTAGCCTTTTATCTAGAACCAAAGCAAAAATTTTTGCATGGGAGGAAAAATTTTTAAAGTACTTCCTCCTATATTAACCACATCACCGTGAGACTATTTGTATTGGGGAAATCTTGCTGCTTTTACCTTCTGTTACATGTTTCGGCTACTAGAGGCAACTCAATTATGTATATGTGAGGCTTTTATTGTCCTCATAGGGTAAAGGGGAGAAAATAATGGGAAAGGAACCAACACCCACTGAAGCCTACCATGCACTGTGCTAGGAGGCCTGAAGATTAAAGGAATAAGCAAACACTACTAATTGACTAAAAATGATTTTTCTGTTTAGTAATATTTTTTGGATGAGTACATTTAAACTTTTTAATTGAAGGAAAAAAGAAGTGAAATAAGAGGGAAAGGACTGGGGTAGACAGTGGAAGGTATAAAGGAAGCAAAGGAAAGAGGACCAAGGGAGCTGAGGGTGCCCTGGCAGAATCTACAGAAATCAAGAAATAAAGGTCAGAATTTCTGAACACAACAGTGGAACTTGGGAATTTTAAGAGTGTCAAAGGCATAGGGAAGGGGAATCAGTTGGGGGAATAGAGGTAGCTGAGGGTGGGAGGGGAGTAAGAGGTGGGTGATCTTGTCTTACCCTTTGCTTAGTTTCTGTGTAGCCTGGCAGGGAGACATAATCCCCAGTCAGCCCACCTTGCTGCCTGGCAGGAAAGGGCATAGCATAGAAAAACACCTTTAGTGGCAGTAAATAATTCACCCCCCTGCCTGGAGCCATATCCAAGGGGCTTAGATCTTCCCACTGCCCCCCTTCAGCAATGTGTACTTTAAGAAAGTGTGAAAGCACTTAGTTAACTTAAAAGTGCTGTATAAAAATGCAAGATATTATTATTTAGAATAAAATAATGGTACACCAGAATTTCTTTACTGGGAGCAGTGGGGAAATAAAAAAGGAAGAATATTCCTTTCAAGTCTTACAAAATGACTCCTGTTACTTTTGAGTTTTGTTACAACAGACGAGAATGAAGTGACTGCAAAGAGAAGCAGTAAGATGCAGTGATGCAGCTGACCAGAAGAGCCCAGTGACGCTGCGCTGCACAGGGAAGGAACACTGCTCAGGAAGGATGTTCAGGTTTCAAAAGCCATTTCCCTGGAGGGAAAAGTCCCTTCAGCTTTGACCTTCATATATACCAAGAAATGTGTCCATTGCCAGGAAGAAAAGACCGTTTTTCTACAGATACCCTTTTCCTTTTAGTATTGAAGGATCTACACTTCTTCAATAACTCCAGGTTTCAAAAGCCATTTCCCTGGAGGGAAAAGTCCCTTCAGCTTTGACCTTCATATATACAAAGAAATGTGTCCATTGCCAGGAAGAAAAGACCGTTTTTCTACAGATACCCTTTTCCTTTTAGTATTGAAGGATCTACACTTCTTCAATAACTCGGGATGACTTTCAATCATAAGGAGAGAGAGGTTGCTAAATTATCTGAATTACTGAGCTGAGAGAACTGGAAAAATTCAAATTGCCATCTGAGTAGGAAGAGAGCAATATTGTTGAATTGAAGGAATAATTCCTCATAACCTGAGCATTACCAGCTCCAGTTTATAAGTGCCTTTTACAACCTCTAAAGCTAGATTATATGTAGAAAACTCACCAGATCAAACTTCAGTATCAGAAATATAAAACACGAAGTTCTTAATTGCCCCCAATTAAACTTCATGACCAAATACAATGTAAGTGAATAAAAGCCCACTGAGTCACCAAAGCCTCTTAACAAGAGCTAAGGGTCTCAGACTATACCAATGAAAATTAGTCAGCAGTATTCAAGATCCTTTAAAGAAATACTTATCAGTGAAAGCCAAAGAATGTTTTACTAATGACATTACTAAGCCACGTGCTATTTTACCAAGACCTTTCCTTAAGTTAATAATAAAATAAAATCTCTCCCAGTGCTCAACTTTAAATTTGGTCTGGGCCCCCGAGGGCCTAAGCAGGAGGACAACGCTGCTCTGACCAGGGCTGGTACAATGATGGAAGTATGTTCCACTGAGCTGGCCACTATGCTCATCCCTCTCAGAGGAGAGACTTAAGGTTTAAGGACTCTAGAGTGGAAGGAGAGCTCCCATCATCACTGCTAATCTGCTAACCATCATTTCTAAGGACAGTCCGGAAGTTCACAGTAACCTGGAGGCCAGAGCCCTGAAGGGTAGGGCTTCTAAACTACAGTCTCTCTTGCAGTCACTATCCAATTCCACCTTCTAAAATTGAGCCCCAGCAATGGGCACTCACTTGATGACTGTTTGCCTAAGGAATTACTTTAGGAAGGCATCTGAACTGAGCACCTGAAAAACTACTATGTGCCAGCACTGAATGAACCTCCTTGTTCCCTTCTTTTTCTCTCTTTAATTCTATGAATGTTCCTCCACTTCTCCTTTACAGAAGAAAAATGGGCACAATATTTATTTAGAATCCATTGTACTTATTAAAATTGTACATAATTTAAATTTAATTTAAAAAAGAAAACTAAGTGGAAAGTCTTAGAATTTTATAAAAATTATACAATAAATCTACTCTGACTGTGACCCCAGATTTTCTTACCCTTCAAGAGTCAATAAGTACCCAAGCTTTAAATAACAAACCGTAGGTCATAAAAAAATACTTAAACAGCAGGTTTGTATATGAACATTACTCTAAGAAACACTAAAACATACTATTATTTTAAAATTGTGGTATAATTTATTAAAGGGAATTATTAAATTAGTATACCTTTTAGTTGGTTCCACCTGCAAATTCTTACCTTGAATCCATCCTTCTTGTTTTTTTCCAAACCTGACCATTCTCCAGGCTGAAATTCATTTTAAGAGAAATATAAGTGATTTGGTAAAAGCAATACCTGTAATTTCCCAATCTTGGACTCTAAGTTAAGAGCTTCCAGATAGAACAGTTAGTTTAATTTGAATAATAGGGGAGGAAAATTACTTGGCTCTAATTACTCAGGCAATACTGTTGCTCTGACAAGAAAATTAGACCAAAGGTAAAACCAACCCTTTTAATATCTTCTATGCACTTAATAATGTAGCTCCTCTTGATAGCTTCTTTCACAGCGTACGCATCATCACTAAGAATCGTCAGATGCTCCTCCAAGGCTTGCTGAATAAGGCTACTGGGCAGGGTTGGAAGATGAGCCAGTTCCCAGAGTACGTCTAACACCTACAATAATACCACATCAGATGAGCCAGCCAATACGCAAATAAAACTGCTGTAAGTATTTGTAGCTAGAAAAATCCATTTGATTCTCCTGCCTTTCCAGAAGTGGTCTCAAAGCGAGCTTCCCGGCCTATTCGTCCAATCAGGCTCAATAGCTTTTGTCTTACTCTATCACTCTCAGTCTCCCAGCTCTGTAGAAAGGAAAAGAAGAGACACAGGAATGCTGCTTCACAACCAAACTAGCAAAATATGCTAAAACTTTCAACTTGAGCTAAAAAAAAGTTTAATAAAGTAATAAAAGCTCATTTAAACACTGCTATTTTGGGGGAAGAGGGGACCTCAAAAATTTAAAAGCAAGTCTGACTGAACACATACCTTCTGAATGAGAACAAACAAATGATTAAGCTGATCTGAATTAAATTTCACAGCTGCTGCAGCAATAATAGTATGAATATTCTCGATCACAGTAGATGATTGTCCTGACTAGAAAAGGAGACATTGGAAAAAAGTTAAGTCTTGGAACTTGGATAAACCTAAGTCCTTTCCCTGGCAATTTATAGAAAGAAAAGCAAAAAACATAACAAAGATAAATTGAGTCTAGCCTAATCAGCATCCACTTGCATAATAACATTGGAAACATACATGATGTAACCATTAATAGTTATCAGCTGGACTTAGTAAATCCCAAGCAGCATTATATCTTTAAAAAGACAATGTAAAAAAAAGATGAGAATCAAGTTCTCAATCTGACATATTCACTTCAAGAGGAGAACAAAATATTTTCAACCAGCTAAAAAATTCAAATCAATTAAATTATAAGACAAACACACTCACCTTTGGCATTTTGTAAATGATCTTGAGGGCCTCGGTTAAGAGTATTATCTGCCTCATTTTTTATTTTGCTCATATTTTCTGACATTTACTTATCCCCCAGGCAGTTAAGTCTCTATTGCTAACCTTATGATTGAAACTCACTTTATTTTTATTTTTATTTTTTTTTGTCTTTTTTTTTTCGTGTCCGGCAACAGACTGCAACCCTCAGTGTCGCGCCCGTACCGGACCGGGACCGGCAACGGGATCGCAACCCTCGGCGCTGCGCCCGCCCCTCGCTCAGCCAGTGAGCGGGAACCGGTCTGTATGTAGGATCCGAACCCTCGGCGGGAGCGCCGCCGCGCTTCCCAAGTGGTGCGCCACCGGGCCGGCCCTGAAACTCACTTTATAATCTTAATCATGACCCCCCAGTGAGCGGGAACCGGTCTGTATGTAGGATCCGAACCCTCGGCGGGAGCGCCGCCACGCTTCCCAAGTGGTGCGCCACCGGGCCGGCCCTGAAACTCACTTTATAATCTTAATCATGACCCCGTTATGCCTCACTGTTCACCATGGGAGAGGCTTGAAAGGCAGGGGGGCATTTTTAGATTCAGTTCTTTAAGAATTTTCTCAGTATCTACTATACACATAAAGCCATTCACTGACTATAGTATGTATATATAATAAATACATCATAGTCTATAAACTTCAACTTTATGTGGATTCAAAACTTATATTCACAAAACAAAGTTATATGAAGATATTCAATCAAGGCTAAGACATGGGAAATAAAATCAATGGGACCTGGGACTATTTTCTTTTACTCCTCCACCTAACTTTCTATAGTCTGCTCTGTAATGCTGCGCTAGAAGTTTGCAAACTACATTTCCCAAACTCCTCTGCCAGCTATCTTCCCATTATGTTCTGCCAGTGAGAGGCAGGGCTGGCAGATTAGAAGGCAGGACAAAGCAGGTGTTTCTTGTTTAGGTTCAGAAAGTGGATGCAGATGCTGGCTGTGGCAGCAAGGGATCCCGGAAGCCTTAGTGGCAGGCACCTTTTGACAGTTCCAGCACTTGCAGTGAAAGCACCTCCAAAAGCAGCTTCCTTTCCTTGGACTTAATAAACCCTTCTTCCTTTTTGTTCCTCCAGCCTTCTTTCTTCTCTCTCTCTCTCCTTTTTGCTCTGCTTTTGTGAACAATCCCCTATAGTCAGTTCCCTCTATCTGAAATACCTAGCATGGTTTCTGTTTCCAGACTGGATTCTGACTGATACAGTGACTAAGTGGACACAGTCAAGATGAGCTCCAGGTTTCTCACTGGCTTAGCAACTAGATGAAGGTCAATACCAATACTGAAATAGATTGGAGAATGACCAGGTTTGGACATAATAAAGCTGAGAGGACAATGAGATACACATGTAAAGGTTTAACACTTACATATTTAGATATACTGCACTGGTGCTCCAAGAAGGGGTCTGAGTTAGAGATATAATTCATAGAGCCAGCAGCATACAAAAGCAGTCAAAGCCACAGGAGTGGATTAAATTGACTGATGAAAGCTTAAATAATGAGAAAAGGGCTAAGGACTAACTAAGGCTTTTTAAAAAAAATATTTAAAGGCAAAAAAGAAGAGAATAAGTTAGTTAAGGAGAATTAAGAAGGAATGCCAGAAAAGTGGGAGGAAAACCAGTAAAATGGGCTATGACCAAAGTGAAGGAAAAGAAAATGAAAGTATGTTGGATTCTGTCACACCTGCTGAGAATCCTGGTAAGACGATATCTGTAAATTCAGTAAGTGTTATCATCATCCTCATTTAATAGGATTTAATGAGAAAGAATTAATGAATATATTATTAATAATATATAATGAAAAGTACACTGGATTGATTTAACAAAAGACATCCTAGCTCTGACACTAACTGCTATATAACTTTTGGGAAGGCTTTTCATTTTTTAATCTAAGAAATGAGAAGACTAGACTAATCAGTAATACAAAACTTATTATAAGTAGTGAAATCCTGTTTACATATGTAGTCTTAATAAAAACCTGAAACTGTAAAATGAATTAGATATAACTGCTCTAGTTAAAGCAAGATACAGGTCCCATTTCCCCTCTGACTCACCACCCTCCCCCGCCAAAAAAACAAGAAATGGCAAAAATAATTCTGATCAACTTACCTGTATCTTCCAAATTTTAGTGAGCTCATCTAAAGACAATTTACTGCCCAAGAGTTCAATAATTCCCTTTATACGATCACAGTATTGTGCTTGGTCTATGTTGCCTAATAGAAGAAACACCAGAAAAGAAGCCAGATAGTGAACACTGACTCTCTAAAGATGATTCTACTAAATCAAAGCAACAGTAACTTGCTGTAAGATTATTTAAAGGCTAAAACAGTCAAAGTAACAATTTTGTATCTTTTTTATACAAAAATATATTATTCAAATTATGTGTTTGGTAATTTTTATCTTTTTTAGAGCAGCTTACCTTCCAGTGCAATTGACAGAACTGAGTTTTCAACTAGCCAATCTAATAATCTGTCTGTATCTATAGCATTCTTCACAGATTTGGACAAAGTGCTGTCTTCTATTAGCTTGGTTACCTAAAATGACAGGATTACTGTGACTGAATCTAATACGCACAATCAAAATTTCCATATATAGAGTTTGTAATATTATAATGTGGTCCAATAATTAATCAAAATGTATCAAAGGTAGTTTTTAGAAGTTTACAGACTAATATTTGTGATGTCTCTTTAAAAAGAACATGGAGCTGTTGTTACAGCTCTCACTCCCTGGACCACTGCTGATAGGCTCAGGGATGAGCATCTAACCCAAACTTCAGTCAGGGCATTTCCTCCAAAGTTTACACTTGGGACCAGAAAAAACTGTCAGTCCCTCTCTGGTGATCGGCACTGTGGGATGCGAAACTTGGAAGCAATCCATGGACTTGATCTCCACCATCCCACACTGCAGGCAGAGAAGGAACAGGACCAACATGCTCAGAAAACCAGAGACAAGACTTGACAGAGTCCTGGAGGTGGTCAGGTCTTCTGGTTGTTCCTGCTGCTCATGTGTCCCTGTCCTTTCATGGTTTGGCTATTCAATCCTTCATCGTGTGATATAGCCCAGCTTCCTTCCAATAAATTCCTCCTTGGGTCTAAAATGGTTCCAGATGACTTTATTTCACTTGCAGCCAAGAATCCTAACTAATACAAAACTGAAGGAAAAACAATGGGAATTATGACTGAACCGCATTGGCTCCACATGTCACTCACCAAGACCAACTGCTGTTTGTGTGGATCTGATAACAAGTTTAGGAACCTACAGAAAATTATTTCCATCATTTTGCTTAGACCACCATAGTTGTAGTCATTTTGTTTTTGTACCAACCCTAGTTAGAAGATTTCGTTTAAGTAAACCCATATCTGAAATAAAAGAAATTGTACCCTTAGGGTAAAAAGTAAAACTCAAACTGTACATTCTAAGGGATTACATTCTAGGAAATTTCACACCACCACTAAATATTTCAAATATTTCTAGAATGAATTTTGAAAGTGATACAGATAAGAAGACTGCTTTACTAACAATTATAAACACATATACCATTTAATACACCATCACGGTTATCTGTTTTTTATATGATTACAAGAAATTATTCTTATTTCCCAACATTTTTATATTAATAACCACAAGTTTTGGCAGAACTTAAAATGTCTGTGCATTAAGTCTTCTAGAAACAAATACAAAACTTACTTCTTTGAGTGAATTCATTTTAGCACTAAAATGTGGTGATTTCAACATGCGCAGTAGGATGTCTAGTCGAAGGTCATCCACAATTGTCACCAGATCCGGTTGGAAGCGCATGCAAAGTAACTTTATGGCAGACAAGAGCTCAGGGATGCTAACCAATCTCTTTTATATTTAAAAAAAAAAAAAAAAAAAAAAAGAACTGTAAAAACATTTTGATCCCAATTCTTACAACATGCACGAGAGTATAAAGTAACAATGGTCTGGTGGTATTTAATATTCTACATGGCCTACTTACTACATTTTGCTTCTAAACAAAAGATAACACATGGTTGAGCAGCAAAGGAAAGGGAATGATCCTGTCAGAAATTCAAGGCTGACAAAATAAATCACATCGAATTTAAATGTTAAAATTGCTTTAAGCAACTTTGGATAAGTTTTTAATATTGCATCATTTTAAAGCTTCTTCTATACTGATTTTAATACCATCAAAATCACATTAGTAAAATTTTGAATGGTACCACTTACTGAGGACACTATATTCATTTTATTGACTGAGCTAACACCAACCACTGGTACTTTCAGAAACCGCAGTTTTTGGTTAGGAAATGTAAGATTAATTTGATGTGAATTGTGTGTGACCAGAATCCAAAGACCAATGGGGTGTGAACCTTGACAAGTACTGGCTCTGCTTCTCTGGACTAATTGGCAACACGGCCTACATGGCTGGAGACTGCATTTACCTTGTCTTTGAGATCCTTCTCCTCCACACTCCGCACATCCTGGATTGTAGTAAGGATGACTGGGTCTAGCATGGGCTGCAAAAAGAAATGCTACAGTTAGTAAGAACTCCTGAACCTGTCACAAAAGTGGAGAAGAGATACTTCTTCATTGACGATTCACAAAGGAGAGTGTGTAATGAAAGATGAATTCTAGTACCAGAGTGGCTAACTAGCTAATAATATCTCCCCAACTAAGTAAACCCTTAACTGACTCTGTGCCTTAGCTACTTTAATGAAATATGGATGCAACCCTTGTTACTACTAACTCATAAGGGTAATTTTGAACAGCAACTCAAGACACAGGAATTAACTTTTAAAACATTAAGCATGATATATACTATTTTTGTAATAAATATTTTGCATTTCATTTTTAAAAATGAATACAAGCACAGACCATGCAAAATATGCTGTCATATATGAACTAATTTTGCTTGCTGATATGAAAGAGGCCTATAGATGAGACTCACACAACACACTGCTTCAGAATGGTAACACAATCAGATAATTAACTACATAGCATGTGAGAAGAGGTAAAATACTAGCTACATCTAAATTACCACTTCTACCTAAGTAAGATAATTTTAAAAACTTAGCGGATAAGGAAAGAAGATATACAATATTTGGCTGTCAAAGCCAAGAACACATTAACAATGAATTAAAATGACATCAGGCAATTATCCAGATAGAATTTCTTCATTTACACTATGCCAACTGTACAGTAAGGACTGAGGGCTGTTATGGTCACAGTGTTCTTGTCAGCATGTGCCAGGCCTTGTTTAATCCTCACTGCATCTCTGAGAGACAGGTATTATTATCATAACTATTATCAGGTACTATTATCATAATTCTACAGATGAGGAAACTGAGGCACAGAAGTTAAATAAGTCTTCCAAAGTTACACGAGTAGCAAGTGGTGGAGACAACTTACATTAAGTAACATCCATCATGGTATGAATTTATTGCTAAATGAACTTAAGTTTGGATAGTTTGATATAATTTTAAAAAGATGAAGTAATACATGCTTTGGTTGGAAACATACATTTCTTATTCTTTTTAAAGTACATTCTGCGTATATGTATAAAATCTGGAGTTTCTAAAGAACTCAATATTAATTAGCAGCTGGAATATTTGTGCTTAATTACCTTCCATGGAACAATGCACGGAAAAAGAGCATACATTTAAAATCCAATCTTGACCATGATTATTAAAAAGCTGACTGTTAAATTATTAATATTTATTATTAAATTATTAAAAAGTCAAACCATTTTGCCCCTGTATGTCTTAGTGTTTCAGTCACAAAACTGTTATATTTATATGCTTATAAGCTGAAAACAATCATTAGATGTTTCTAAAGAGTTTAATGTACAGAAATTTCATTCGAAATATGTAAACAGCTATCCTATTTTACTTAAAAATCTTGCAATATTACCTTGACATCTAAAGAAAGCATTTAATATTTAGAAATGGCAAAAAAAAAAAAAAAAAAACCACGAAAAACCGGAAACGGCAGAAATTTCCAGAACCTACTAAAAAAAACTCCCTTTTTAAAATGGCCCTAAGTAAATTTGACATTGGAAAAAAGGAATAGTGCATACAAAAACATTGTTCCCAAAGTACACTATGCTTTCAAAACCATTTATGGTGATTTAAAAACATATCTGTACAAGTTACAGGTTTCACAGACTTATTTATAAAGAAAATAATAAACAGAGGTATTTAAATATGACATTTTGTTCAGTGAAACTTAAAAAGGAAAAAGAAAGCATAACCCATAGCTTTGACTGTTCTATGAACTATTGACTTACAATTCTACAGAAGCAGGAAATCAGGCAAGATGTGCTGTTAAGCTGTTATTCAGAAGTGAGTAACTTAGCTAGTTAAGTGAGAATAGCTGATTGCTCAACACTGATCTAACTGAATACCTAATGGCATTGAACCCTATACAATCCTGTGAAGGGAACAGGAATATATGGTGCATACTTTATAGATAAGGAAATGGAAAAAAAAAAAATTATATTTGATACAATGATAGTCTGGAAATGTAAAGAACCTTCTCAAATGTCAGAGAAGGTTCAATACTTCAAATTATTAAATATTTTTTATCTTCTGATAATATTTTTACTAAAAGGACAGCTAATCTGAAAAAAATTACTCTGGATTAGGCACAACTCTGAACAACCTGATAAAAAGAAAATTACTGTTTGCATGTCTTGGATCACCTTCTGAAGTAATGTGAAATGGCTTAATCCTACCTGTACCACTGAGGAATTCAGGTACTCTGCACATACTCCCAAGGGTTGCACCAATGCTGAGACAGCCTGGAGAAAGACAGTGAGGGTGAGAAAAAAGTGGGGAGGATTTTTTCCTTTTGAAATTAAATAAATCTATTTTCATATATCAGAAAAATTTAAATAGCGATTTGATCAAGACATGAACAAAGACCAGGCAAATTAAACTCATGGATTGGAAGAATTGACATAAAAATATCGATCTGCTTAAATTATTATAGAAATTTAATGTAATTTAAATCAGAATATATCAATAAAATTTCTTTGGAGGACTGGATGAAATGACTCCAAAATTCATATTGTAGAACACTAAAAAAATTTTATTTTATTTTATTTTAATTTATCAATATACAATGTAGTTGATTTTTGTGTCCCTTTACCAATTCCTCTTTCCCCCTAAAAAATTTTTTTTGAGAAGAAAAGAATAGTTGAGGAGGGAGTAAAATACGCCTTTAACATAAAAATGTTTAAGGCTTATCTGTAGAAAATTATAAAAGTTTCACTAAAATACATAAAGGAAGGCCCAAAAAAATGCAGAGATACCATTTACCATTTACCATTTCCTGAATGGAAAGGATGAGTACTGTAAAAATGCCAATTCTCGACATATTGACCTATAAATTTAACACAATTACAAACGTGATCTCAGTGGGATTTTCTGCAGGAGAACCTGACATGCTGACTACATCCAGAAGAGTAAGAGTATGGGAACAATCAAGAACATTTGAGAAAAGAATGATACTGGGCAGAAATGGCACTACCGATAATTAAAATAGTGGAATAATAGTATAGAAATGGATCAAACAATGAATGAATTAATGAATGAGTGGAACGAATCCATATACACATGGGACTCTGATATGTGATAAAGCCAACAAATACAAATAGTAAGGAAAAGAGGAATTATTCAATAGAGGACCTTACAACAGTTACCCATTTGGAAGAAAATTTGGATCCCTATCTTATACAATATGTAAAAATAAATTCTAAATGAATTTAAGAGCTAAACTATAAAAACATAAAAAGAAAAAGCATTTTTATAAACTTGAGGTGGGAGAACATTGCCTTAAGCAAATTAAAAAAACTTTTAAGCCATTAAGGAAAATAAAATTTGAAACTTCTATGTAGCAAAAGACACCATCAAAAAAAATGAAGAGAAGTAAAATACTGGAAGAAAAAATTTACAAACACACAAAATAGATATAGCGTTGATATGCTTAAAAAAAGAATTCCTGGGCCGGCCCGGTGGCGCACCGGAGAGTGCGCCGCTTGGGAGTGCGGCGGCGCTCCCACCGAGGGTTCAGATCCCATGTGGAGACCGGTTCCCGCTCACTGGCTGAGCATGGTGCGGGCACGACACCGAGGGTTGCAATCCCGTTGCCGGTCAGTAAAAAAGACAAAAAGGAAAAAAAAAAAAAAGAATTCCTAAAAATTAATGAGACAACCCAAAAGAAACTTAAGTAAGTAGGTTGATTTACAGAAGAAATGCAAACAGCCAATAATCACATGACAAAATGCTTAAATTTACAGAAAACTGGAATATTACAAATTAAATAATAAAATACCATTATTTGTCCATAATAGCGAAAAATTAAAGATTAAAAATATTTAGAACTAATGACAGTACTATTATGAAATGGGTTTGTGGATATACAGACTGGTACTGGTTTTTTGGAAAGAGATTTAGCACTGTCAATTATAATTTAAAAATGTATATACAGTCTTTAACTCAGAAATCCCACTTTCTAGGAATTAGTCCTTGAGAAATAGTAACACATGTTCATAATGACACATTTATAAGAAATATGCTCCATAACAGCACTTAGAAATACTCCAAAGCTTATTAATTAAGTGACTGCATCGTGGTACATACACTATTTGCAGAAATGTACTAGAGTCATTAAAAACACTGATAGTACTAACCTGGATGTTAAATTAAAATATACCACTAGGTATAGCTTGATTACAATTTAGTTTTAAAGAGAGAATGAACACGCACAGATTTATATAAATTTAGTAAAAGGTCAGAAAGCCTATGAATTAAATGAGTAACCATTACCTAGGAAGCAGTTATGTGTGTGGACTAAGATGAAAGGACAGACAACTTTCATTTCTTATTTTGTACAGGTATTTTTAACTTCTGGGATTGTAAGTGATATT